GTAGATTTTCTGTGTTAAAAAGGATACTCTTTTTTCGTTTGAACACAGTTAAATTTGATGCATGTAAATCATGCAAAGATTGTACTTACATCTCATAAAGTTCACGTACATTGTTTTCAACCATGTCAAACGAGAAGCTGAAATCCAATTATTGTTAATGAGTTTGAGATTTTATGGTGCATTTCCACGTCCATTTTTATCTTACATGAGTGCTTAGAAAAAACTATCTTCCTTAAAACAGCAATAAACTTAGAATGTAGGCTTGAAATATTTGGCACATTGAATCAACTGCTGTATGAATAGATGGAATAGTGCTTGCTTAATACAGACCATAACTTATCTTTATCATTATTCTATAGATCTGTCTCATTGATAACGACGGGAAGTAAAAAATAAAACGCCAGTAGTATTTTGGACACGTGTTGTAACAACCGAAATAATAATAGCCGGTTTGAACGTAGAACTAACGAACGAAAGTTTATTCGGTTAGGTCAGATGACGTTCTTCTGTATAGATTACGAAAGAGTTTTCGAGCGAATCACATTAAATTATATTCAAACACAAACTCTTTTTTCAATTTAGACAGTTCTATTTTGAGAACGAGAATAAACTATATCAAAAGTGCAGAATACCTCGAACGACAAAACCTGAGCTATTCAGTCAAGGGTTTCTCTAGTACAAACTAACGTGCTGATCAACAAAAGAAGTAGGTAAAATACAAGAGTTAGATACCTGAGAATCAATAAAAATACTACCAACAATATGGGATCAGATATCTATCTACAAGGATTCTAGCAGACCGTCAAAGTTTGACCGTCATACACTGAACCATGACCTGACCTTCAGTTTCGTCAAACACGGCCTTATTATCAACAGGTCGGCAACATTCAACAGTTGAATTAGGTAACAAAAGGCATGTCTTTAACAAAAGCCACATAATAAGAGCTCAGATGAAGAAGATTGAAGAATATAAAGTGCGGTTAGGAAAGTCCCGAATAAAGGTTAAAATAGCAGACAGGGAGAAGTGACAAATTACTGACAGTACTGTGTAATAAAATGCCCTGGAGGAATTTTCAGCTTGTTTTTTCCGTTACACGTTCATTCAAAATAGGCTAACACGCAGGGGAAGACACTGAAGATAGAGCTCTCGGGTCGGCAACACATCAATATCAATTTTGTGCCACAGATTATATGTTTCAAACGGTTAAAGTGAAGCGGAGGCTAGTAGATGGACACATGATAAACAGACAGGCATGTTTTAATCTTCCAAGGTAAGCATGTGAAGGTGAATAATTACATCTCATGGAAATAATTGCACTACGAATAACAGAGACATACATTAAAGACGCATATGCATATTACGTTGATATAATTAGGAAGATAAAAATGTATCATAAGACATATTTACTGCTCATTGGTGTGCTCAAAAGTTAAAATAAGTCGGTGTAGTCATTATTAGAAGTCACGATTAGTGCCAAATCTACCGAAATCTCTAACAACACAACAATTATGTATTTAAAAGACGGTTTTATTATCACGAAGTATGCATAGATCGGGTACAAAATTCAACTCCTGAGGTATCTGTACGTCTGCGAAAAGAAATACCTACAGCAGCAATGATATAAGGGTTAATCGTAACATGGAATAACACAAATTAGAGGTGGTAGCTGTGTCCAAAGCCAGCAATCAGGATTTATAATAAGGACAAGGAGCACAAGAATATGGAAGCCTTGCCCAAACAAACATTTGGGGAATGCAGAAACAACTGTCAGAAACTGTTACAAGGGCGAAGATAATGCAATCTTTATAATGCATATGATAAATATGATTAGTTTATGTAAATACTTTGGAAAATTACACGACAAATAAACGTACAGTGCACTGTACGTTCAGAAATTATTGGAAATGAAACTGGTTACTGAATATTGAAAAGTAGTATAAACATATATATAAAACAAAATAAGTGGGAAGACAGTAAAGACCGAGAATGTCAAGAAAACTAGATACATGTTTCCTCCATCGATAGGCTTCTAATTATGCGTTTGAATCGAACTTTCAGAACCAGATTTGAACAGTTCCCTCGGACACTCACTTTGAGACTACCTAAATTTTTAGTTTTTTCGGGTGATATCATATGATATGGTAAAATCGTGCGATGCTGATATAGTGAACGAAGACTCGGTGGGGAAGACCTATTTATTGTTTGATGTACAATTACATAGTGCTTTGGCAAAATAAGGAAACTGTTATATCCTAGCGAACATTAAATTTCGAGTAAATACTCAAACCTATTATTGGACTAATATCATCTATATATTCTTATGGTATATCTATTCAGTAATTAGATTATATATTTCTATATTCCCTTTATTATAAGCTTTATTTTGACCTATAGATTATCATTGTACGATTTACTCTTCCTAAGTTATGTTCAGTTCACTGACTACTGTCTCCCACGTTCACAGCCACATTTTGGCTCTATTGTGTATAAATGTTATTACCTATTTTAGCGCCTGCAGAATCATATATTTTGAGGAAATTGATTATGATAACACATACTTAGTTTATGCTTCAAATAAGAGAAAGTTTGTTTTCAATTTTTCATGTTGTGAGATAATATTTGATGCACAGAATGCAAATAGCAGATATTTGACTAGGTCCTAATACATTTTACTCATTGAAGGGTGTTACATATTAGATCTACGCAATCACTGTCAAACTAATCTCATAATTTTTGTTAATGAGTGCTAGAAATAACTTGGCAGCAAGGTAATCAAGAACACATTTTTTAGTCTTTGAAAATCTTGGCTATTATAAGATTCAAGCTATTTTTATACATAAAATAGCAGTTTTTTATAACCTTAAATCGTTCTCGGTAATCTTCAATCTATTTCAGTATTAGAGGTTACGTGACAAATTTTCCATATATATATAAATCAAAATGCATTGAGCACATGCATCACACTTTTCTGATTAGATCAGTCTTCTTATGACCTTGTCAAATTATACTTATTGGTGGCACAAACAGGCTAGTATACAGTAGTATAATAGGTACATTTACTTAAAAACTACTTATTTTGTGTTAATGACTGAAGTAGAATTCCAAATTTCGGTGAATTATCAGAAAAAGTTACTAAACTAAAATTTCTGAATTGAGCAAACTCGTGAACGAGAACCCAGTGAACTGATAAAAACGGAGAAAAAGGTGTGTTTTTCCCTTCAGAGTTGCCCTTTTATATTCAGTGAACAACAACGACGATGAATAGAAGAGTTCAAATTGAAGCAATCATTACCAACTCCTGATAAACTATTAAAGCAGCTCAAAATTACTTATTTACGCCTGTTACCTCTCGTGGAGGAGAATAGGCCGCTCACCACCATTTTCCATCCAACCATGTCCTGGGCTATCCTTTCCAGTTCTTTCTAGTTGCTATTCATCCTTTTCATGTCTGCATTCAATTTTCGATGCAGTATATTCTTCGGTCTTCCTCTTTTCTGTTTCCCTTCACGATTCCAAGTTACGGCTTGCTTAGTGATACGGTTAGATGATTTCCTCAATGTGTATCGTATCCACTTCTAACGTCATTTCCTAATTTCCCCTTCATTTGGAAACTGGTTTATAGTCTCAAAGTAAAGTATTACTGATGGTATCCAGCCAATGGATATTGAGTATCTTACGTAGAAAATAGTTTATAAATACTTGTTCTAATTTGATAATGGTTCTAGTAGTTCTCCACGCTTCAACTCCGTACGATAGAACTGTATTTATGTTCGTATTGAAGATTTCGACTTTGGTATTGGTTGACAGTTGTTTTAAGTTCTATATGTTCTTCAATTGTGGGAATGCGGCATTTGCTTTGCCAGTTCTCACCTTTACATCTGCATCCGATCCTCCACGTTCATCGATGATGCTGTCTAGGTACGTGAATATTTCCACCTCTTCAATAGTTTCGTCATCAAGTGTGATTGTGTTGGTATTCTCCGTGTTGTACTTTAGGATGTTGCTTTTTCCCTTGTGTATGTTGGGGCTTAGTGATACAGAGGCTGCTGCTACACTGATAATCTTCACCTGCATTTGTTTTGCGTATGGGAGAGAAGGGTCAGGTCATCTGCGAAGTCCAAATCTTTTAATTGATTTCGAAATAGAAGTTTACCAATGTCCAGTCTCTCTATAAATAGATTTCCAAAAAGCTTGAAATTCTTATGTTTAGTTTGAAAGTTAACAATAACAATACTAACTTTTATACGATAAGGTCGTTAGTTAGAAATTATCTATTATATAGCTCATAATATAACCCATTGGTCTCACTCGGTTTAAGTGCATATCAGTATTATTGTCAGAGAGTTAACTGCTACTCTAAAGCAAAATAAGCACAATAGAGAAGCTCATCGTATGGGAATAAACAGATTTTTTTTAACAAGATTTCGAAAGATTACTATCTTCTTAAATCAAACGTATTGTTCAATAATGAGAAAATATGGTCGCTCGAAGTAAAACTTTCATGTGGAGTGTAAATTGCTGAAAGATTGTTTTCAATACTATTAAAATCAGTGATCTTAAGGAGTAAGTGATAAGTAATTTCCTAAATTGAGTAGTTATGTAAGCGTTTTAAATTGATACTGGTCATATTAGTCATGCAATAGCATTTAATCACGTTGTAGCCTACTGTGGAAGGTTTCGCCTGTTCTAGCTCGTCGGTTCAGAAGTCATAGTTTTTGTTACATCTGCATACGGTTAAATGCATTCTTTATCCAAGCCATCATTTTCTTCTTCCTTTAATAGCTTTAGATTGTTCCGTTAGAAGATACACGGTTATCAGTATTTTCCGATTCTGCCATATCCAAGTTATTTTCTCGAGTTTTAATTTTAAAGAGAAGTTTGTTGTCATGCCAAAGAAATTGGTTCAATTATCTATAAAATGTAGTTTATTATCTCCAAATATAGTATTATTGGTATCAGATGTGTAACTAAATATAGGAGTATGCATTTGTTTATATGCATGAAACTACACAGAAACTACCATACTGATTTAAGCTTTAACACATTAAAGGAGAAAGGCGAAATAAAAAGGGATATATTTAACTGTGATTTCCAACTTCAAAAAAAGACAACAAAAGTGAGTTTAACTGTACTGATTTACTTTGATTTCAAATATATTACCCAGTTAATGCATTTATTAATCACTGCTTTGTTTGGTATCCAAGTTAACAAGTCTATAATATCATCAATAGATCTGGATATGTCATCAACGGCTCGAGTATTTCATACTATATTTTTTAATTCGGTGTTTCTTGTTCGTCATTGACTTTATATTATATTAAAATTGGTGTATTTCGTGAATGACTATGTCCTAATGATGTTCAAACTATCATAACTGCAAGTTTAATGAAACTACAGTATAAAATATTAACAAAAGAGGCCGTTAAGTAGAACTATAACAGCGAAGATGAAAAAATTACTAACACCCAAGCATGTACTAGGTTAGAATAAAGTTTAAAATTGTAGTGCAATATAACAGAATGTACTATCAATCTGTATGTTAGTTTTATCGTAGATATTCGGTGTGGGGTGGCATGTAAGGCTACTGAATAACTCAGAGGAGTTAGGGCATTTCGGTAGCGTTGAATGACTGAACTGTGATTATCCTTAATTCATTGAACATACAGACACAGTCATGACACAAATAAAGACAGCACTTGCGACAAAACAACAACAGTTAGTACAAAATGTGAAGAATTAACATTTGGAAGTATTATTGATAGCACTAAATAGACAAATAAAATATTACCTGCAGACGGACCGTAATTTCAACGGAGGATTTCCTAATGAGAATCACACACTATGAATCCCTATGGAAGTTATGGAGGGAATTTAATTGTTTGATCACATATACTATGTTTTCTTTATCATTATCAATGAGTGTTATTAAATAATGTTAAGATCAATACCAAACAATATTACCAAAATTTTCAGAAGCTACTACGTACTGTATGAGGCGGAAACTTGGAGAACTACAAAAGCCATCATCCAGGAAATACAGGTGTTTATTAACAGTTGTCTACGCAAAATAC